ATTGTGATAGCCGGTCGTAACGGTGTGTTTTTTTAGTATAATATATTTTTTTGGATATTTTTTTATTTAATATATTTAGTAATACAGAGTCGGTGAGAGATGTTTAATTTTGTCCACAACCGCATACTTTTGCTGCTGTATCCGAAAATAGACATGTACAGCAATGGGACATGAGAAAGCCAGATCGGTATTTTCAACATTTTACCGCACACAGTGGTCCGATATTTACTTGTGATTGGCATCCTAAAGCCACTTGGCTCGCTACTGCATCTAGAGATAAAACTATTAAGGCATATACATTATTTTATATATAGACTTTTATGAAATATTGATTGTATTTTTATATTCTTTATGAACTCTTTAGGTTTGGGATCTGTCAGGTAAACTAAGTTGCGATTATACCATACATACTATTGCATCAGTGGGACGCATTAAATGGAGACCACAGAAAAAAATATCACATAGCAAGTTGTGTTCTAGTGATTGATTGTAGTATAAATGTATGGGATATTCGCAGACCATATATTCCATTTGCAAGTTTCAATGAACATAAAGATGTTCCCACAGATGTGGGAGAGGCAATCCACAATCATTTCTATCGACAAGCAGAGTAATGCTATTAACTATTTTATTATAACACTTTTTATCGCAACTACAATGCACAATGCATATATTATTTCTATTTTCATTATTTTAGGATTGCATCATATTTTTGACCATACGGTAAGACCAGCCAGCAAAGCGAATCCGCAAAGTGTTATGTTCGCGTTAAGTTTAAAGGATGAAGTCACATATGCTTGTAAAGTAAAATATGAACCGGCTGCTACCGGCGGCTACCGCAAGACAACTGACTAGTATAATGAGGTCAGTTATTATGGTGCAAAATATATTATCACAATCGTAAGATAAATTCTTGTCAGAATAATGAATAAAATTGTTATTTCTTTATTTTTTTATAGGAGAACACTTGTGACAAATGAAGATACTTTTTGTGTGCCTTCAAGTGTAACGCATAGATTCACTTTGAAACAGAATTCCGCTATTGGGACATTACTTTGTTCAACTTGACAATAGAAAAATGTAAGTTTTTTAGTATTATAAAAAATTTATCATTTCGGCACGGTTGACGATTCAGGTTAAATTGATAATAAATCTTTCGACAAGGAGAAGGCAGAGGTAATGGACGGCAGGGGAAACGTGGTGCTCGCTGCAGAACGCATCGACGGCCTTTACTACGTGCAGGGCGGAAACGTCGACGAATGCAAAAAGGCCGAGGAAGCGGACAACGGCGCAAGAACTAGGGAGAATTCCTTGAAAGATTGGCACATACGTCTCGGCCACCTGAACGTGCATATGCGCAACATGGGACAATCAAATGAAACCTTTTAATTTATACTTTTATGTCTATCAAAATAGGCATAACGTTTTCGAAACATAAAAAGATGAAAAATGTGATTAATTTCAATAACTTTACGGAAGAAAGTATAATTCTAAATGAAACTGATGACATTGATATTTCTGACTTGTGTAATGATAGTAATAGCAGTAGTTTCGACAGTTTTGAATGGAATACGCAACATCCATGTAATGATAGAAAAACTCAATTTAAAATTGTTTTATTGAAAGAACAATGGTTAAATATCAAACCAGAAGAGAAAGTCAATAATAGGGGAGAAATTTATTATTCTTTGAAGAATGGGTGGACACATATTTTGTCTGAATTAATTTTTCTACAAGAAAAATTACCATGTGCGTATTCTTTCAAGAACCAAAAAGTAATACACGCGAATTGTTATGCTACAGATTATATTGTAAAAATAAATGGATTTTGCAGTGATCACAATTGTAAAGCTCAAATTTATGGGCAAGGATTATTTCAGTTTAACAATGATGATGATGTATCGCTCGAATTCGTTACCTTAAATACTGAAGATTTATTACACTCCAAAAAAAGATATGTGTCCGGAATTCGAAAAACGTCGTTTAAAAAGCATTCGAAACATAAAAAAGCCGTTGTATTTAGAAGTGAATTAATTAGAAAATATCATAAATATGGCGATCAAATTGGTCCTTTGGTACCAAATAACAATGTTATTAATGGAGTGCGTTTCGAGGCTAAAAATGAAGAATTCGGTGTTAAAGATACTGTATGGAAATCGCTTGAACATTTCAAAAGTGACGTTGAATTTAGTCGTGCCGTTAAACAAACAGGTTTTGATAAATTTTTTTTTATGTATTGGATACCGGAACAAATTGACGTTTATAATGATGTGATAAAACTTGGTTCAATTGTTTCTATTGACGCGACAGGGCGTGTTGTCCGTAAAATAACACGTTCGGAAAATAATTCTAGTAATCACATTTTTTTATATCAAATAATTACTCATGTTCAAAGCATTATAATACCATCTGGTCAACTTCTCTCGAAACGACAAGACACTCGAATCGTTGAATTCTGGTTACAAGAATGGATTTCATCTGGCGCACATGTTCCTTTAGAAGTAGTCACTGATATGTCAATTACACTTCAAAATGCGATTACTTTAGCAACTAATGGAATATTTTATAAAAAGTATTTGTCAATTTGTTATGATTTTTTAATTGGAAAAACTCAATTTGTACCACGGCCATTCGTTCGAATTGATATTGCTCATCTGATACATTGTGTTGCTAGACTGAAATGTTTATCTCGTGCAAAACCAGCAGTAAAAGATTTTTATTTACGATGTATAGGATTTATGACTACAATTGAAAAATTTCAAGATTTAGAAAAATCTATGAAATCAGTTTTGATTGTTAGTCAAAACGAGAGTAAATGTTATGCAGAAATTCAGTGGATTTTGAAAAGGATTGAAACTTTCAAATTTGATGATTCCATTGATTATAAACAGATAAGACAGTCTAATGTTTGTGAAAATGGCAATAATTGTACAGAACACATTTCTTGTAATGATGGAATTGATGTATTTTCCTCTGTGACAGTAGATCATAATTATAACTACAACGTTGATAATCTTTCGCTTTATATTGATCAAATAGTAGAGCAAACGTATTCAGAGCAAAATTCAAATATGTCAATTAATTTTAATGATATGAACATGTATTATTTTCCGGAAATTATCAATGATTTGAAACGTTTATTTAAACAATTTCCATCGTGGACTAATGTTATGTTGAACTGTTTTAATTCAAAAAATACTGTCGCAACATCTGCTCGATCCGAAAATTATTTTCGTTTTATTAAGGAAAATCTCTTAGAAGAACGTCAACCGTGCCGATTTGATAAATTTTTTATAAAACACGTACGAACAATTAATACCAAAGTTATCGAAGGAAGAGCAGCTTATGATGCATTAAAGAAAAACAAAGTTATTATTAATCAAAATCGTGAGGAAAAGCTACGGAAGGAGGAACAATTAATTTTACAAACGAAAGAAAATTGGAAAAATAAAGTAGTGAATGATACATTTGATTTTTCTAATGAAAATGAAAAAGATAATTTTTCTATTCTTAATTTTAATACTGATGAATATAATCAATTAGAAGCTGTTAATTCAAAAGATATTGTTCATTCTACTCCGAAAGGTATGGTGGATTATCCAATTATAAAAAATTCAGAAAACAATTTTTCCATTGTGTTGGATGCTGAAAAAAAAGTATTTGAACCGATAATTAAAGTAAATCAAAATTCTGAAAATGACAAGAATTTATTGAACAAACGCGGAATGTATGTTACTCCATGTCCTAATGTAAAGGTAATCCACCAAAAACCTGCTCAAAAAAAGTTTAAAAAAGATTTTATTAAAAATGGTAATAGGTTACCTCCACGTATGATTAATAATAACAAAATTTATCTTTTTAACACTTGTCCGTTCGATTCAATCACTGAAATTGTATCTGCTGCTTGTTGCAACTCCAGAAACTTTGAGAATTTTGTCACTTCACAAATAAGAAAAGAAACTATTTGTTTTTTTACATGTGTACGTAATTATACTGAACACGGAGCTACAGCATCGTTTTACAAATTAAGAGTAACATTGTTATATTCATTATATCCGTCTGCTAGTAACAATATAACTTGTGAAGACAATGTTTGCGATTTATCCCAATCTAAAAAGGGCATGTTATTGACATTGTTGTCGCTTTTCCGCGATCTTGATTGGTTGTCTTGTTCATGCGCTTGCTTCACTCGTGTGACTTGCTTCATTCGTGTCGTTTGACAGTTTGTCATTTGACAGTTAGTTGACAGTGTTGACAGTTAAAAAAATAAATATTAAATATAGTTAAATATATTTAATAAATATAGAAAGAAAGAGGAAGAAGGAAAGACGAATAAAGAAAGGTATGTATATTATATATGTATATTGTGTGTATATATGTATATTGCTGTATGAAAAATACGTATACTATTTTTTTTTATACTTATATATTTTTTTTATACTTTATAAATATATATTTTAATGTATATTACTTATTAATATAAACGATTCATTTAATATTAATATAAATGTTTCATTTACAGTTAAAGAAAAGACGAAGAATAGGCGAGAAAGAGAGAGGAAGGGAGAGAGAGAGAGAGAGAAAAACTGAGAGAGAGATAGAGAGAGAGAGAGACAGAAAGGAAAGAAAGAAGAGAAAGAAGGAGGTTTTATTTAAAATTAAAGAAAAGGAAGAATACGCAAAAGACAGGGAGAGAAAGAGATAGACAGAAAGAAAAAAGGAGAAAGAATATAATATTAGGTAATAATATTGTTTAATATTATCATTTAATATTGTTTGTTAAATATTATTAATAAAGATTATTACATATTATTAATATTATTAATATTATTAATATCATTTAATATTATTAAAGTTAATTATAGTATTAGAGAGAGACAGAAAGGAAAGAAAGAAGAGAAAGAAGGAGGTTTTACTTAAAATTAAAGAAAAGGAAGAATACGCAAAAGACAGGGAGAGAAAGAGATAGACAGAAAGAAAAAAGGAGAAAGAATATAATATTAGGTAATAATATTGTTTAATATTATCATTTAATATTGTTTGTTAAATATTATTAATAAAGATTATTAAATATTATTAATATTATTAATATTATTAATATCATTTAATATTATTAAAGTTAATTATAGTATTAGAGAGAGACAGAAAAGAAAGAAAGAAGAGAAAAAAGTAGGTTTTATTTAAAATTAAAGAAAAGGAAGAATACGCAAAAGACAGGGAGAGAAAGAGATAGACAGAAAGAAAAAAGGAGAAAGAATATAATATTAGGTAATAATATTGTTTAATATTATCATTTAATATTGTTTGTTAAATATTATTAATAAAGATTATTAAATATTATTAATATTATTAATATTATTAATATCATTTAATATTATTAAAGTTAATTATAGTATTAGAGAGAGACAGAAAAGAAAGAAAGAAGAGAAAAAAGTAGGTTTTATTTAAAATTAAAGAAAAGGAAGAATACGCAAAAGACAGGGAGAGAAAGAGATAGACAGAAAGAAAAAAGGAGAAAGAATATAATATTAGGTAATAATATTGTTTAATATTATCATTTAATATTGTTTGTTAAATATTATTAATAAAGATTATTAAATATTATTAATATTATTAATATTATTAATATCATTTAATATTATTAAAGTTAATTATAGTATTAGAGAGAGACAGAAAAGAAAGAAAGAAGAGAAAAAAGTAGGTTTTATTTAAAATTAAAGAAAAGGAAGAATACGCAAAAGACAGGGAGAGAAAGAGATAGACAGAAAGAAAAAAGGAGAAAGAATATAATATTAGGTAATAATATTGTTTAATATTATCATTTAATATTGTTTGTTAAATATTATTAATAAAGATTATTAAATATTATTAATATTATTAATATTATTAATATCATTTAATATTATTAAAGTTAATTATAGTATTAGAGAGAGACAGAAAAGAAAGAAAGAAGAGAAAAAAGTAGGTTTTATTTAAAATTAAAGAAAAGGAAGAATACGCAAAAGACAGGGAGAGAAAGAGATAGACAGAAAGAAAAAAGGAGAAAGAATATAATATTAGGTAATAATATTGTTTAATATTATCATTTAATATTGTTTGTT